TCAGACCAGGTCAGATCCCTCAATTACAGCAAGCTCATGTCCCTCTCCTTTGTAGTGTTATTTCATTGCAATTTTTAATGTATTTGCTAAGCACCTACTACTTGCCAGCACTATAAGATACAACTGTAAGAAAAACATGGTTCTTGCCCTGGTTGTGTTTATGGACATACAGATAGTAAGCAGATAATTATAGTGCTTTGAGTGCTACCATGGCAATCATAACACTATAATTACAGATTTGAGGATAAGGGTATACTTCTTAGAAAAGTTGAAACCTGATCTGAGCCCTGAAGTAAGAATTAGCAAAACAAAAGGAAGGAAAAAACTATATTCCAAGCAGAGAGAGCTGGAAGGAGACACTGTTCCACTTAGGCCCAGCGGCAGGTGGAGAGAACTTATGGTGAGTAGTTGCATTTGGCTGAACTGCAGAATTGGAGGTGAGGATGCGATGGGAGTAGAGGGGAGTGGACAGGAGCCAGGATGAATCTTGGGCCTCCCTTCGACACCTGGGAATATAACCTTCCAGAATATATTAGATTATGTGGCAGATTTTTCTTTTCTTTTGACAAGGTCTTGCTCTGTTGCCTAGACTAGAATGCAGTGGCACAGTCATAGCTCACTGCAGCCTCAAACTCCTGGGCTTGAGCTATCTCCTGCCTCAGCTTCCCAAGTAACTGGGACTACAGGCATGAGCTGTCACACCTGGCTAAATATGTGGCAGATTTATCATAGCATTATTTTTCTTCCCCCTTCAGTCCATCATCAGAAACTCTCAGGCCAGGCTGTTGAATCTCCTATCAGATTTATGTAATTATTCCTCAAAGCTTCCTGTCTTATCATGTTGCAGCTTGCCTGAGAGAGGGCAGGAGTAGGCTAGCAACAAATCAAATTCCAATTGTTAGTAATTTCCCAAAACTGAAAACAGTTTTCTGTCAATTTTGGGATTGGTTAAATAAAGTTAAATTAAGTAAATAACATTAAAGTATGATACATAGTATACTTTGCAATTATTAAAAAGGGTAAGAGTCTACAACTATTTGAAAATTAAAAAATAGGTTTATAAAGGCATAGAGATTGTTTATTTTAAAATATACATAATCTAGGCTGGGCACAGTGGCTTACACCTATAATCCCAGCACTTTGGGAAGCCAAGGTGAGTGAATGGCTTGAGCCCAGGAGTTCAAGACCAGCCTAAGCGACAGGGCAAAACCCTGTCTCTATAAAAAATACAAAAACTAGCAGGGCATGGTGACATGTTCCTGTAGTCCCAGCTACCTGGGAGGCTGATAGCAGGACTGCCTCAGCCCAGGGAGGCAGAGGTTGCAGTGAGCCAAGATGGCATCATTGCACTTTGGCCGGGGCAACAGAGTGAGACCTTGTCTCAAATCAAAAAAAAAAGAAAAAGAAAAGAAAAAACCGTGTGTGGTGTGTATGTGTGTGTAACCTTATTAGATATACATTCTAGGAGGTTATATTCCCAAACCGTTCATCGAGATTCAGACTTTTAAGTTTCTATCTGATGTACTTTTCTATGTTGCTTCACTTTATTCACCTATCATATTAGCTTTTACAATTAAAAAATGAAACAGTTAAAGATACCGTTAATTTGGAAATGAGAAATTCCAGTTCTGAAACAAGGCAGGTATGCCCCTAACCCTGTCATTCTTCAAGTCAGTCCGTCTGGACAGATGAAGGTGCTGGCATCTGATTATCTCCTGGTCATAAGCCAGAATAGCAGCTGGGAAAGACTGACTCCAAAAACACAGCCACAGGAGTAAGCCTGGCTGCATCAAGGCTTTGTCAGTTCTCCCCAGCAGTCAAGCTCTCTACATGACACCTGGAAGACTGCATTAATTCCTTATTTCTTTTTTCATTTTTCCATTCATCCATCCATTTTCAATTGTCCATCAAACCTTTAGTGAATATGGATTTTTTTTTTTTTTTTTTGCCAGGCTCAATGCAGGGTAATGATGAGAAGGGAGAAAGAAATCTGAGTCTTGTCCCTGTTCTCAAGCTTATAGGAAGGGCAAAGAAAGGAGGTTGTAAAGAAATTAACAGAGAATACAACTGCTTCCATTTATTGAGCACCTGATGCCAGATGTACAGTAGTTCTCAAGGTAGGGTTTGTCTCCATTTCATAGATGAGTAAACAGGCTGTAATAAAATTTTGTTCAAAATACCGTGGGGGCATGTAGAAGTTAGCTTTGCTGTGTAACAAACCATTCCAAAACACAGTGGCTTAAGATAATAAACATTTATTATTGCTTCTAAGTCTCAGAGTCAGCTGGATGGTTCTTCTGGTCTTGGCTGGGCTTAGTCATGTGTCTGCTGTCATCCATGGTTGGGTGACTCCTGATCTTGACTAGGGGTAAGCTGACCGTAAGCTAGTCTAGAGTGGCTTCAGTTGGAATCACAGCTCTTTCACGTGTCTCTCACCTACACATCTCTTATAACCCTCCAGCAGATCAGCCATGTTCTCATGGCACAGGCAAAGAGCAAGAGGGCAGGCCCCCCCTTTAAAGCTTCTGTTGGCTTCATGTTTATCAATATCCCACTGGCTAAAACAAGTCACATGTCTGGGCCCAGCATCAGAGTGAGATGGGACTACAATGTTATAGGCAAAAAGGAATGGATACAGGGGAGACCATGAATAGAGATCATCAAAATAATCAGTCTAACACAGGACACATTAACCAATTTTATCTGGGAAAGAAAGGCTTTATAGAAGAGGGTACACTAGAGCTGAGTGTTGAAACATGAAAGAGTATTCACTAAGTGGGCAGCTGTTACTTGGAACTGGATGCAGTCTGGTTTGCCACAATCAATAGAAACTCCACAGGTCTTTCTGTGCTTAGGGTTCTATTATTTGTATCTTGGCTTCATTTCTTCTGGTCAGGCACAGGGTAGCAAGCACTCAACAAATGTTTGCTGAATTGAATTGATTATCTTACTGTGAACAAGGTGTGGACTCAAACAGCTGAACCTGGGAGCCAATTGTTAGAAAGAACAACTTAGCATCAACTCTTCTGAAACAGAAATCCTCAATTTGGCAGTTTCTCATTCATTCATCCCCCAAACATTTTCTGAGTGCCTGTTGTAAACCTGGTTCTGTGTTGTATAATGAGTAAGACACAATACTAGCTCACAGCCTGGGCTACAGCTTAAATGCAGAAGGCTAAAAATTTAAGCAGCTTCTTGGGGTTCCATTTTTAATATTAATTCATTCAGAAAATGCAACAGGAGCTGGTGCTACAGAAAATCAGTAGTCCTTAGAAACTGCACTGGGGTTCTCCGATAGTCAAGAAAACTAACAGTAAAAATCTGCCCATAAGTATTTTAAGTTAAAATCCATGTTCAGTGGTGCATAACTCTGGGGTACCGACCAGTATTTACTTTGAGAAAAGTGTCCAATCTTGCTCAAAGGTATCAAACGTGTTATAGGTTTTGAAGTGGGATGGGCTTCTGTCTAAGCTAGGTTCCTCTAGCTCCATAGTACACAGCCAGATTCCTCTATTTTTACAAAAGAATAATGCGTTCGTTATTGTCTGCCTATAGATTTAATATCTAAAAGTCTCCCTAATATCTCAAGTCTCCCTAATTGACAATCCATGCCCATGGAGCCAGTTCATAACAGAATTAAGCCATGAAGTGATTCAAGCTGGCACTTCCCAAAGCTCAGTTGGGACTGCTGTTTTTTCAGAGCAAGACATTCATTTTCTTCTGAACCTACTAAACTCTATCCATGTATATGTTAAATTGCCAAAAAAGGAATTTACTTGAAATGTATTAATTAAGCTTAAACTGAATTATAAGATATGTCCTTGATTTTTAACAGAAATTCTTTTTTCTTTTCTTTTTTTTTTTTTTTTTGAGACAGGGTCTTGCTCTGTCACCCAGGCTGGAGTGCAGTGGCATAATTATAGCTCACTGCAACCTCCACCTCCTAGGCTCAAGCGATCCAACTGCTTCAGCCTCCCAAGTAAGAAATCCCATTTTAAGGTTATTTGCCAATTTCGTTGTCTTGGCAAACTAATTTATCATTTGAATCCAATGATGAGAACTGCAATCCCAAGGTTTCTCTTTTTGCTTTGGTTGCCAGGAATTTCAGAGCTAAATATAGGCTTAAAGTGCCTAGTACATCTCTCTCTCTCCCTGTAATCTAGTTTCTCTCTTCCATTTGTAACTTTGTAATCTGTACTGTCCAGTATGGTAGCCACTAGTCATGTGTAACAACTGAGTATCTGACAGGTAGGCTAGTCCAAACTGGGATGTGCTGTAAGTGTAAAAAGTATTTCACCACTTCATTTTACTTTTCTTTTTTTTTTTTTTGAGATGGAGTTTCGCTCGTTACCCAGGCTGGAGTGCAATGGTGCAATCTTGGCTCACCGCAACCTCCACCTCCTGGGTTCAGGCAATTCTTCTGCCTCAGCCTCCCGAGCAGCTGGGACTACAGGCACATGCCACCATGCCCAGCTAATTTTTTGTATTTTTAGTAGAGACAGGGTTTCACCATGTTGACCAGGATGGTCTCGATCTCTTGACCTCGTGATCCACCTGCCTCAGCCTCCCAAAGTGCTGGGATTACAGACCTGAGCCACCGTGCCCAGCCCATTTTACTTTTCTTATTTGGCTACTAGAAAATTTTAAATTATATATGTGGCTTGCATTTGTGACATAATTCTGGTGGCCAGCACTACTCTGCAAATCATCTGTTTTATGACTGTGTTATTGTAAACCTGAAATCCTTTTTGGAAAGCAGGTGAAATAATACAAATAATAATACAAAGGTGGCAGCAGTGGATGGAATGAGAAAGGGGAGGTCGATTGGGACAAGTACTTGTCATTCTGTTTTTGGCTTGTGTGATTCACATACAAACCCCTTGGTAAAATGTGTTGTCAGCTCTCTTTATCCCAGGTGAGTAGTATTCTCATGGCTCTCTCCTTTGTCTCCAGAAAAACCTCAGCTTAACTTTAACAAATTGGAAAGGATCTGATAAGATCATTCACACCACATTGCAAGTGACTGAAAACAACATTGTGTTCACCCCTCTCAGGGAATATTTCCATTTTAACAGGGAACAATCCCTGGACCCACAGGAATGAATCCCCAGTGGTGGAGTTTCAGGCATCAGTGACAGGTGAGTGAGAGGTGGACTCTGGTTTTATGTGCATATGTGTTTATCTGTGTGGCTACATTCAGGATAGGGCTGAAAGTAGGGTCTTTGGATGGAAAGGTAATGGGGCTGACAGATAAGCCAAGCAGAGAAGGTAGCAAATTCCCAGCTGGGTCAGACTGAGAGGAGCTGTCAAGACATCAACCAGATGCAGTGCAGGCCCTTAGGGATTTGTTAAGCAGTAGAATAGCCCAGTTGATGTCACCAGAGGGTGGGTATCAAGACAGTCTCCACGGTAACTACTGTAGAGTAAGAGTAAGGGTCTAGAGTAGGATTCAGGAGACTATGACTGCAGTCTACAACTGACTCATTGGCTTAACTCTGGGCAAATCCTTTTACCCCTTGGGTTTCTTCACCTGGCATTTTCCAGACAAAGAAATGGGTGTTACAACTCTCAAATGAGTTCTAAGAGATGCAAAAGTGCTCTGAGAAGTAGAAAGTGCTCTATACATGCAAGGAATAGTGATTAATATCTTAAAATGGAAATGCAGCTAAGCAAGCCTAGACTAGTAGAGGACAGAAAGCAGGGATCGAGGGCTATAGGGAAACTGAAGGCCAATGTACTTGAAACACCGGTCTTTCTCTGTCCTCCCAGGCTGAACCCAGACTCCCAGGGCACATGGTTGCACGAGATGAATGATGGCCTGAACTATGAACAAACAGGACTATATGAACACTTGGGTACAGGAGCCCCCTCTTGACTACTCCTTCAGAAGCATCCACATCATTCAAGGTTAGCCCCAGAGCACAGCACTCCACTAAGGCAGCAGGCCCAGGGTGGTCCCTAGGGAGAAACCATAATCTTCTACAAGAGATTCTTCCCATATGCTTACAGATGTGTTGTTACTGTCTTTTGGAGGTGGTGGAGAGTGAGAGTTTATTTTTGTCCTTTGTTCATTTTGTTTTTGCCCCAGACACAACCCCAGGAGATCCTGAGAACATGTGCCCCTGTTTATTTCTTTGAGATCAAATCTGAAAGGAAACAGGGGGCTATCACAGTATTTGATCTTTTTTTTTTTTAATTGAAAATCTTAATCTCTTTTTATTTTTAGAGACAGGGTTTCACCATGTTGGCCAGGCTAGTCTCAAACTCCTGACCTCAGGTGATCCGCCTGCCTCGGCCTCCCAAAGTGCTGGGATTACAGGCATGAGCCACCACTCCCAGACTTGATCATCTTTAAAAGAAGCCAGGCTACAGCAAGAAAGTCAAATGGAAGAAAACTGGGAAGCCAGTCTATCAGCCAATAGTTTTATTTTCCTCTTTTTACCTGAAGAGAGGTGGAAAACACAGGATGCTGTGAAGTCCCCAGCAAGTAGGCAGATCCCTTCTCTTCTGTCTGGTGACACAAGTCTATTCTGACTGGCCAAACACGAGGGGTCATATCAACAAATTGGCATATTTCCAGTTTAAATACTTTACTGACAAATTTCTTACACTCATTCCAGCCATGTTCAAGTTTATTTCATCATCACCCACACTTGTTGCAGGTTCCAACACTGCCCACACTCACTCCCATTTTGCCATTCAATGTCTTTGTAAATGGGCAGCTAGTCCCTTTGGAAGGGAACATAAGGAGGCTCTCAGCAATGTCATATTCCCAATGAGTCACCCATTCTTCCTTGGGAAGTTCTGTCATCCCTGGCTTTTGTTATCTGGTCTTTCATTAAAGCATCAGTATAACTGTCCTCACAGAATACATGTTAACATCCACTATCTTAGACCTATTATTTGGCTTTAGTCTTCTCTCAGGCAATTGGTAACCACCACCTTTAAGCTCAGAAGCTGGCATATAGCACCAGTCTTCGATTGGGCTTAAGGTCTACTTGGGTTATCATCAGCCACAATGGTGACTCATGTTTATTCTCTCATGAGCACACAACCACCTACTGTGATCTTTACTATGCACTGCATCACTTCTGCTTGATGTAGTCCATGTTTCACAAGGGGTTTTAGCTGCAATAATAGCTATCTCCAAGACAGGTGAAGTGACAGAGGTGGGAGGGAAGTATACCTCCTACCTATCATGGGAATTTGTAACTCTGAGGGAGGAGGTATAGCTCTGCCCTCTATGGAGTCCTCAGAATTGGGAGACAAGTAGTACCAAGGGTAACTCTACACTACAAAACATAATCAGTGCAGATGCCCCATCCATCATTCAACTGTTCAGTATTTACTGAGCACTTACAATTAAGCATGCACACACGCACACACACACTTATATATGTATGTGTATATATGTTTGTGTGTCATATGTATATGCCAGGTACTGTGCTCCTTGCTAGGTGTGTGAGAGGCACATGAAAGCCCCAAAAGGTCACAGTCCCTTGAGATTCCCCAGAGCTTCTGAAACACTTATTTATAGCTGGAGCTAAAGGATACAATTGAGTTTGGGGGTACTTGGCACACTATTTGCTGAATGAGTAATTATTACAGAATCTGAAATGGCAGTGCCTTTGGAAGGCATCTAATCTATGCTACCATCAACCCAAGTCCTCTAACTTTTCACAAACCTGGAGTGTTAAGAAGTCCCCCACTACACACACCTACCAACCCCTTCCAGTTTGTGGTTGAGGGACACAAGGAAGTCTATCAAACTGACTTGCATTCTGACACATGGAAACACCTACATGGCAGACTTTCAGATAAAGGAAAATATGAACATGGTTTCCCCAGATCTTCCTGGAGCTAAATGCTCCCCAGTTCTCAAAGATTGATATTTGTGGTCCAGCTTCTAGACTTGCCTTGGCCTACTCTGAACAAGAAACCTGAACAGATTCTTAGGCAGTGTAGTGCGTTGGTGGAATCTGAGAAGAGCTGCAACCTGTGGCAGCCCGGATACACCACTCCATCCGTAAGAGCAGCTCTAGCCAGCATCAAGTTTTAGGCAACTCCGTCCCACCAGTTCCTTCTGCTCAGCCTCCAGCCTATGCTTGGCATTCCCCAAGCTGCTACCTTATCACATGGGGCGCTAGTTCATGTGGGGTTATTTTGACCTTAATTTTTACTCATCTGTGTTATTTTGTTTCAAGGTTCTCAGAGGTGTGGAGAGGGAGGCAGGATTAGGAATTCATGAGCTGGAGTACTCTGTTCCAGTACCCTCCTGCAACATCAGGCCCCAACTGTGGGTACTGCTCACTTTAGGACTAAGGCAGAGAGCCATCTGGTGGATGCTGCCTGACCTGCAGCTGAGGAGGAGAAGGGGTGGAAGGGCGAAGGGAGAGTGAAGAAAGCCGGCTAGCTTTAGCAAATCCTAAATAAACGTTTGCTTCCCCAGAGGTGGATCAGGGGGCAGTGAGAAAAATACAGTCACCTCAGCCAGACCTGGCATTTGGTTGTGACTCTATGACTTTGAACTTGGGCAACAAAGCCCATCGTCTTTCTGGACCTCATTTTGAAAAAGAAGTGGGAAGGCCAGGCGCGGTGGCTCAAGCCTGTAATCCCAGCACTTTGGGAGGCCGAGGCGGGTGGATCACGAGGTCAAGAGATCGAGACCATCATGGTCAACATGGTGAAACCCCGTCTCTACCAAAAATACAAAAAAATTAGCTGGGCACGGTGGCACGTGCCTGTAATCCCAGCCACTCAGGAGGCTGAGGCAGAATTGCCTGAACCCAGGAGGCGGAGGTTGCGGTGAGCCGAGATTGCACCATTGCACTCCAGCCTGGGTAACAAGAACAAAACTCCGTCTCAAAAAAAAGAAAAAGAAAAAGAAGTGGGAGTAAGGGTTTGGGGTGTTCCATACACCTGGGTTCTAACATCATCCTATTCCTTATTCTCTCTCCTCTTCAGCCAAGCTTTCTGAGGATGTTGTTTATGCTAATTGCTTATATCCATTCACTCTGTTTTTGGTAGAGACAGAGATTTCACAATGTTGCCCAGGCTGGTTTCAAACACCTGGGCTCGAGCAGTCCTTCTGCCTTGGCCTCCCAAAGTGCTGGGATTACAGGCATGAACACAGCCTCCATTCACTCTTGACTCACTCACTCCAATCTGGCTTCTGCCCCAGGCCCCTGCCATTCCACTGAAGCAGCCCTTACCAAGGTTATTAGGGACTTCTAAGTTTCCAGAATTACTTTTCAGTCCTTATCTCCCTGGAACTTACTACTATAAACTACTGACTCCCAGAACATCTTATAGACTGTTCTCTCCTGACTTTTCCTGTCCTTCCCTGATTATTTAACTTTTCTAATGGACTCTTCTTCCTCCCTGACCTTCTTTTCCACCTTCACTCTCCCTGAGGAATCTCATCTCTTTCCCTACCTTGTATGCCTTCTATATTAACAGTTCTCAAGTCTGTGTCTCCTCAACTTCCGACCTTCATCTCCAACTGCCTACTTGGCTTCCTCAACTTTTTATATGGCAACCTCAAACGCACCAGCTAAGCCTGAAGTCATCACCTGTTTCTCCTTCTGTAATTTCTTGCCAGTTAATACAACTGGCCACCACTCTTTAATACTCTTCTACCTTTACATCCAGTCAACCAAATTATGTTGATTGTAGGTCCCTCTCATATCTTGCTTGGATGACTCAAACGGCCAAATTGGTCATTCGGTCCAACTCACTCCCTAAAATCCATATTCCACACTGAAGCTTCAGAGTGATCTTTCTGAAATAAAAGATTTGAATCATTTGCTTTAAACACTCCAGTACCTTCCCATCACCTACAGGGTAAAGCCCAAAATCCTTAGTCTGGCATTCAAGACTTTTGACTGGACTCCTGCCTCTTTTCTTCCTCTTCGTCCCCCTTGTGCAGTATGTGTAAGCACTTGTGCGGGCACACACACACATACACACACCCCAACACCCCACTGTTCTGTACCTCTATACCTTTCTTCATGCTGTTCTCCGCCTTTTTACCCTTCTTTGCCTGATAAACATCTCTAATCCACTGAGATTCAGCTCAGGCTTCACCTTCTCTGGGAAACTTCCCTGAGTGCCCACACTGGGTCAATAGCCTCTCTTCTGTGCTGCTACAACTATTATATAGCACTTATCACACCATATTGCCAGCTTGCTCCCATCTTGCCCATATAAGCTCCTCCAAGGCACAGATGTCTACTCTCTGCCGTATTGTTCATACAAAGCCAGGAACAGACTCTGATTTTGTTCATCACTGTATATCCACTACCTGGCATACTGTACGTAATCAACATTAATGGAAAGGGGAGATATCAGAGTGTATTCCACTGAAGTGAGTTCTATAGGCTTTACCAGTAGTTAATTCAGGATTTTGTGCTATCGTCTTCTCAGTTCAAGCCCAACAATTCTGATTCTTAGTCTTCCTCAAGCACACACAGGTTTGGTATACAAAAGACCCAGTGATATAGTAGATATGAGAAGTCCATATGACCTGGAAAGCCAAGAGTTTGGAACAGAAGTCTCTGGACCTTAGTCTAAACTTACTGATTGCTGGAAGCTGTGGGACAAGGTTGCACTAGACTCAGGCACAGGGCTGTGGCCCTTCCAGACCCTCCAGCTACAGTTTGGATGTAATCTTTCCAGCTCTATTCCTTCTCACTCCCTAAGGCTAGAAAAGCAAAGACGATATACACAAGTCTCACTTTGTCCCCACAGATCTGGTAAATGAGGAGCCAAGGACAGGGCTACGAACACTGAAGCGTTCAAAGTCGGGGAAATCACTGACCCAGTCCCTGTGGTTGAACAACAATGTCCTCAATGATCTGAGAGACTTGAACCAGGTGGCTTCAAAGCTGTTGGAGCACCCAGAGAACCTGGCCTGGATCGACCTGTCCTTTAATGACCTGACTTCCATTGACCCTGTGAGTTCCTACCCCTAGGAATCCAGTAGGGGAGACGGGATAACATGTAGGAGTGGAGAGGACGGGGGCTGAACAAAGTGGCTTTGACTGGAACAGAGAGACAGTCTGTTCCAGGCTTCAGCCACTTTGTTCAGCCCCCAACCTCTACACTCCTACATGTTATCAAGGAAGTAGTGAGGCAGCATGGTGCAGTGCAAAGCACAGGCTGGGGGGGTCAGACAGATGAAGGTTCAAATCCTGGGTTTGCCTCTTACTGTGACTTTGAGCAAGCTACATAACCTCTCAAAACTGAAGCCTCTTGTCTGAACAATGGGAAAGGACTGAATGAAAATACATAAAAAACCAACAACTAGTACATCAGAGGCTGAAATAAAATTGTACTGTCACTGGGCACCCACTGTGTCCTGTGCTGGGTTTTCCTGTGGAAGAGGTAGGCAGTAAAAGTACAATACTTACTTTCTGTGAACTCAGATTCAAGTTTTAAGAAATAAAGTTTGGCCTTTTCTAGTCCAGAATCCCTAAGAGGAGAAAGGAACTGGAGCATGACTTGGAAACTATTCCTCTGGTGTGGTGTTCTCAATTTAACCAATATTTTAAAAGATTCTTATGTGCCTAGCATTGATACTCAGTCTTCCTGTCACTTGCTGTGATAGAATCGTAGGTCACCAAAGCTGGAAAGGGGAAACTAAGGCTGAGGGAGAGGCAGGAAAGGCAAGTCAGTGGCAGTGCTGGTACCCAAGCCCAAACTCCTGACCTCAGATCACAGCTCCTTTTCAGTGTGAGACCCTTATCTCTTAAAAGGTAAATAAGGCTGGATGTGGTGGCTCACGCCTATAATCCAAGCACTTTGGGAGGCCAAGGCGGGTGGATCACGAGGTCAGGAGATCGAGACCATCCTGGTTAGCACGGTGAAATTCCGTCTCTACTAAAAATACAAAAAATTAGCCAGGCGTGGTAGCATGTGCCTATAGTCCCAACTACTTGGGAGGCTGAGGCAGGAGAATCAGTTGAACCCAGGAAGCAGAGGATGCAGTGATCCGAGATCATGCCATTGCACTCCAGCCTGGGTGACAGAGCAAGACTCTGACTCAAAAAAAAAAAAAAAAGGTAAATAAACATAGGTTAGAGTCATACAGTATGGCTGTGGAGGGCATGTTGTTCCCCACATTCTTCCTTTTCTGCCCACCAGTCAGGCCTGAGCATAGAATCAGGGTCCTGTCTAGCCCGGCTTTTGGTTCCCTTCCCCAACAGGTCCTAACAACTTTCTTCAATCTGAGTATCCTTTATCTTCATGGCAACAGCATCCAGCACCTGGGGGAAGTGAATAAGCTGGCCATCCTTCCTCGGCTCCGGAGCCTGACACTCCATGGGAACCCCATGGAGGAAGAGAAGGGGTATAGGTAAGTGCCCTGCCCCTGGAGGTAGGGTCTAGCTGGGCTCCCCTAAGGGAAAGGAGGAGGAGAACCAAGAAATATAAGACCATTCTTCTGCCATGCTTGGACTTGGGAAGGGAGTAGCAGACCTTTAAGTGTTCCTTGCTATCGGTCAGGATAAACCTAATCTTCCCCAAACTATGCTCAAGTCCCTCCATTCCTTGCAGTCAGGGAAGACAACAGCAAATGGTAGAGGGGGAAGGGGATGCTGGTAGGGGGGCTGCCCCCCCAGCCTGAGTCTTCCCCACAGGCAGTATGTGCTGTGCACCCTGCCCCATATCACCACGTTCGACTTCAGTGGGGTCACCAAAGCAGACCGCACCACAGCTGAAGTCTGGAAACGCATGAACATCAAGCCCAAGAAGGCCCAGATCAAGCAGAACATACTCTGAGGCTCCAAGGACCCTAGTAGTCCTAAAGGCCTGAGGACAGACAGCATGGTTTGACAATAAATGATTTGAGCTGTTGAGCAGGCAACTGCAGGTAGCGCTAGTTTTTTTTTTTTTTTTTTTGAGACAGAGTCTCATTCTGTCATCCAGGCTGGAGTGCAGTGGCATTATCTCGGCTCACTGCAACCTCCGCCTCCCAGGTTCAAGAGATTCTTCTGCCTCAGCCTCCCCAGTAGCTGTGATTACAGGTGCACACCACCACACCTGGCTAATTTTTTTTGTATTTTTAGTAGAGAAACCAAGATCAACATGGTTTTGCCATGTTGGCCAGGCTGGTCTCTAACTCCTGACCTCAGGTGATCTGCCTACCTCAGCCTCCCAAAGTGCTGGGATTACAGGCATAAGCCACAGCTGGCCAGCTCTAGTCTTATTTTGCTGAAAAAGGGAGGCAATGGAGGGAAAGGCGTGCTGGCCTGGGACACAGGAGACCTGGGTTTACCACACAGCCTTGGAAAATTTCTCTAACTCTCTGGGCCCCTTTGTAACACTCTTCAGCTTACAAATTTGGGAGTTAAACTAGATCAGTAATTTCCAAACTCTTCACAGAGTACCAGGGTCTGTGGAGACCCCTCATAGGCCTCCATGACAGGCCAAGACGATGGGCTATGATCTCTGAAAGCAGCCCCTACTTCAATCAGATCAAAGTAATTCCATTCTATGTTTTATATGTTGGGATTCTGCTTAAGATTTTATTTGATAAAAAGAATCTTCTGCTTAAAAAACATGTTTACTGACTCCATATTAGATATTCCCAGAAAAGCCTGGTCTGCTTTCACTCCCCACCCCTATACCACCAGTGTCTCCCTTCACCCCCCAGGGGCTGTTGGTAATTCCACTGAGTCTAAGGCAGGGCCCCAAGAGTCAAAGCTGCCTTACATTCAGTTCTGTTCAGCTTTGACAGTATTCCCATCATCACTGGACAAAAGACAAGAACAGTCTCATCCAATCTGAGGTTAGCCCAAGCCAGGTCTCAGCTAAGAGCTGATACCCTAAACCCTTATCTCCTGGATTCATCTTCAGTGCCCCTGGAAGATGCTTCCTTCCCCCCATCTCACTCTCATAGACCTGAGTATTCAGAAGTAGAATGGGTAGGATAGAGGGGCCAGAAACAGCACTTGGATGAATATACTTCCTTTATCGAGGGTGACAAAACAAAAAAAGACCAAACATGTAAAAACCCAGGGTTCTAGAAATACAAACTCAATTCATTCCAATTCAAGCTCATCCAGACCCTGGTCACAAACCCTAGCGAGGTGCATGTGAGCACCAAGTCAGGGAGAGGGGGCAGGAGTGACTCTGAGGCCAAGAGAGAGGGTGGGAAGGGGATCTCCCTAGGTCCTCTGGTGATCACCCCCCCACCCAAATTGGTATCTTCACATTCTCAATGACTATGAAGACATACCAGGCTCTGTCCTTTTGGCCCCCACCCCATCCCTGGCCAGGGCTTCAAAGGCCAGTCCCAAAAGGTTCTACCCTCACTTGCTCAGGCTTCTAGCCTTGCTCTTCTCCTCCTTCTTCACATTTTTCTCTGTGATTAGTAGCAGGTTAGGGTACCATATAAGCCGCAGTGAGGCTGGGGGCCAGGGGGTTGGGGTAGAGATGGGATGAAGAGAGGAGAAGAGCTGTCCAAGGACCCCTCTCTTCATGGGATCCCAAACTGTACAACCAGCTCCTCTTTTGCGTCCACACGGATCTGAGAAAGTGCACTGTAGGCATAAGCAGCTATCCTGGAGACCTAAGGCAGAGAGGGGCCAGGGAGGAGAGGAACAGAGACAGGTGAGGAGGGCAATCAGGAAAGAAGGGGAGGGGAGATTAGATGGTGATGAATGAGAAGGAGGGAATGATGGAGGACAGGAAGGCAAAGGGAAAGAGGGATGGGAGAGACAGAAGGAAAAGAACAAAGGGGAGTGAAAGAATAAAGATTGGGGGGAGAAGATAGGAAAGACATTAAAAGTTAAGAGAATGAGATGGGAGGGAGCTGAGGCCCACAAGGCTACCGGGCTCCCTAACTCCACTTTCCCTACCTCCTGTGAGGCAGGGTGGGTGAGCCCTCTGCCATACCCTGGGCAGTGTGAGAAGGGTGGGCAGGGACAGGCAAGGGGTGTCTCACCTGCTGCAAATCGGAGAATGGGATAGGCTCGCTGGCCAGCACTTGGTGGGGCTGGCTGGTAAGAGATGGCAAAGGTGGCAGCTTCTTCCAATGGGTCAGGCTGCTGCTCAGCACTGCCAAGCGGGTGCTGACCAAGAGAGAGGGGATAGGGGTATGCAGTTAAGCCACAGTCTGCCCTGCCCAGCCCAGGTAAGCCTCATTCCCTCAAGCCAGAGAAGCAGGGTGCCGAGGGGGCGGGTATCGCAGAGGGTAGGTCTCAGCTCATCACAGACTCACTCTAGGCCCACCTCCCTTGGTCTCAGCACCCTCAAGAATGTCACAGGGTAAACGGGGCTGACATGAATATCTACTGAAGCACCCAAGTGATCAAGTGATCTGTGGTCAGTCTTCAGGGCTGCACCCAAATAAGAAGCTTGGACTAGGGGCCAGACTCCAACGCCGGAACAGTGATGGAAGGTAGGAGCCCAAGTAGCCTAAGGGACCAACGCTGGCCAGGTGCTCACCTGTACTGCCTGGCACGGTCCATGTACTCGTGCTGCTCCATGCCCTGTGAGTCTGCAGCAGACACATCAATGATGTTGCTGTGGGGAGAGGAGACCGAGATGACATGACAGGTGCTTCCAAGAAGGACAAACAGGACTCAGTGCTGGTACCAACTCCAGGGCTATCTGACACCAGTTTCCTTCCTGCCTACTGGAGCAGGGCTGGACATGGAGACACCTCTACCCAGTGACCTTTTCCTATCCCCCATGTCCTAAGCCTGGATCCCTCTATCCCAGCCTTTAATACGGATAGAGAAGCTCTTACTGAAGCCTGGTCCTCTGACACTTACCTGGCTGTCTTGGCAAGGATGGAAGAGAGCAGGGCCTGCTCATCTGTGCGAGCGGAAGGCAGGCTGTGGTAGTTGGGCTCAGCTCCATTGAGAGCTTTGGTAGGGGGACTGCTAGGGTCCAGCAGCAGCTTCCGCTCCTCTCGGTCCTAGAAGAGGCCATGGGAGAGAAGTCAATCCCAGGACCCTTAGATCCTGCCTTTCATGGTTACTACCCTCCGCCCAGCTCTGACCTTAAAACACCAAAAATATATCTATAAGGAATATCCAGAGTTCCCAGCTTTATGGAATGCCAGGTAACACTCAGTTCCTGCCTATCATTGGGAGCTCAGTTGAGTTTTTGTTAAAAACGAGTGGAATCAGGCAGTCCTAGAGGCCCTGAAAAAAATGGACAGAGACAAAGCAGGTAGTCAGCAACAGCCCTGGAGCTTTAAACAGTCTAGGACCTGGCAGAGAAAGGATACTAGAGGCTGGAAGACAGACGACCTGAGACAGCAAAGCAGAGGGATCTAGAGAGGGAATCAGTGCAAGTCAAGAGCCCAGGAACAGCCCTCCTCATCCCCCAGCACCAGGCCCTCCCCAGCTAAGCTGTTTGCTTCCAAGATGGAAGTCTGGACGAGTCCAGACAAGACCCTAGGCCCCAAGGGAAAGCAAGCCCAACCTCTCCATGGCCATTTCTCAGATTATGTCAGGGCAAGAATCTCAGCCCAGCTCTGGGTCACACAGTACAAGTGTGCTCCCTTCTTGAAGGCAGGTCCCTTCGAAAGTGTCCACCCTCCTGTGCTCTGGTGCTCTTTTTTCGTATGTGACTCCAAGAACCAAACTGAATGTACATGGTGTATCCTGATCTGAGCAACAGAGCTGTAGCCGTGTATATCATACCTATAATTCCAACACTTTGGAAGCCCAAGGCAGGAGGACTGCTTGAGTCCAAGAGTTTGAGACCAGCCAGGGCAACAAAGCGAGACCTCATCTCTTAAAAAAAAAAAATTAGCTGGACTTGGTGGTGTGAGCTCTGTAGTCCAAGCTACTTGGGAGGCTGAAGTGGGAGGACTACATGAACCAGGGTTAGAGGTTGCAGTGAGCTAGAATTGTGCCACTGTACTCCAGCCTGGACAAGAGAGCAAGACCCCATCTCAAAAACAAACAAACAAACAGTGAAGCTGTTCCCTCCCTTGTTAAACCACCTAGTAACCCCTGTACATTTTCAGCAGCCCTGTTACTGCTGATCTATGCTGATAATCACAACCCCCCAGAAGTAACGTAAGACCAAACCAAGCTTCCTCACTGGTTTGGTCTTCCTCCTTGTCCTGTTTTAGTTCCCTGTTTTATCTACTGTAGTATTTCTGGATTTGACCCTGCCTTGAGCCCATAAGCTACAAATCCTTGCTGGCTGTATCAGCTGTAAATTGGGGTGGGGGTGGGGAAAGACCTGCTGCATATCTATCCAACCCATAAAGAGCAAGAGTGCCCTGGAGAAAGCCAAGGATGGGCCCAGGGGGGACATCCTGGCTAATGCTGACTCACCAACCTTCAGTGCCAGATTCCTCAACACTCCTCTCCAGGCCTCAGTTCCTCAGTCTTTCCTGCTGCAGGCTCCAGCTCCCTTGTCCCAAATTCCACAACCCTCCTTATAGAGGGCCACTTCCTCCTGCCCTGCTTAGGCAGGCCCACCTTTTTCACCTTACTCTTCTTTCTCAAGCCCAGGTTGCCCAAGTGTCCTCAGGCAATTTGATCCAGTTCCCAGCAGCAAGAGACAGAAGCTGTGGGCTTTGCCCCATCACCTCTAAACTCCCAGAGACCCCTTACTCCCTAAAATACACGTTCAGTATTAAAGAGCTACAAATACAAAATGTTTGACAAATATAAAACTATGTATTTCTAAGGAAAGCTGGCTCCTTAATGAGACCCAAGTTAGCTTCCTATGTCTGTCCTCCCAGCTCCACTTCAGAGAGATCTTCCTGCAGGACAGGGTAGTCTCTTCCCTATCAGAGGTTATTCAAGAAGGTTAGTTGATCACTTCTCAGCCTTTTAGCTAAGATCAAGTGAAGAACGAGGTTGTTTTCTTGAAATCTAGACTTAAAGAAGAGGTCATGCTACCCCCTTCAGAGTAGACAAATATCACCCAACTCCCAAAGTATGAGTGGAGCATGGGGTAGGCTTGTCACACCTAGGTTCATCTCTGCGTCAGTGTAACCCAAGAGGCAGGGTTTAACTGTCTAACCTAGCACAGATACATAGCAGCCTGCCCATGACTGGCCACCTGGTCTAGGGGCATGGCTGAGACAGCCTGGCCCTGTGGATAACGTACATGGCTTGGCATCACAACACCTGGGCTATAGCATTTCAGCTTGACTAAATCACTTAGTTTCTCTGAACTTCTTCCTCACCTTTAAATAGACATAACCCACACTAATATGACATATCTGGCAAGAGTCAAATAAGATAACTGTGAAGGCCCTTTGTAAAATGTAACGTGTTGTGCAATTCTTTTTATTATGATAGAAGACAGATGAGAGTGGGTGAGGGGCCTGGCAAGAACTGAAAGAGGGACTCTGGGATGGTGGATGGTTATGGCCCCTGCTATATGAAGCCTCAGAACACCTAGCAGTGATTAAGCACCTTCTCTGGCAGTTAGAAACAGAAATGAGAGCCCACCAAGGAGAAGGTAGAGATTCAGGAGAGCAGCAGGCCCAGCTCTCCCTTCCAACTAGAAGCTGGTATCCTGTCTCATAAGGCATTAATCCTTCTTGACTCATTCTCTGCAAGAGTCCATATTATGCTTTAAGGGACAATTTCCCACTAGGCCACACCTCTTCAGGTAGGCAGGATTGTTGTTGTCTCTTTCTCAAAAAGGTGGAGGTGAAGTGAGAGGTATTGGGCATGACACATGCCTAACACAGGGCAAAGGAAATATGTGTTCATTGGGTGTATGGAGAATTGAGAACCAGGAGCCACCCTTGCTTCCCATACAAATGACATTTTCCTAGGCCTAAGCACTTAATCCAAAATACCTTCACTGCAGAAAAACTACTTCCCCGGTACCAATGACATAGTTATTTCGGTGACCATCTCCCCCATTATGCTGTGAGCTACTCGAAACCTTTCTACTTTCTCAGTTCTACTATGTGTTCAAATGTCCAGGCTTAGATACAATCAAAAAAGGAGAGTGGACAGCAATTTGAGACTTCATCCTTGAATGTCAGGCCAGGCAGGGCAGGGATTCGAGTGTGGAGAGAAGTGAGAATGCAGTAAGGGGAAGACGGAGAATTTAAAACTGTTCCAGTCTCCCCAGCCTAATCCTTTCTTCAAAGGGATCAGATCTACAGCCAAATTCTCATAACAGGCATGTCTCCACCTAAAGGAACCCTCAGGCTCCAGGAAGAGACTGCACTGAGGCAAGCCAAACTCAGAACCAAATGAACTTCCTGTTCCATTTCTCTTTCCCACAATCTAGCCAAAGCTAAACCCTCTTTGTTGCTTCCCAGACAACTTCCCACAGGTCCCGATGTCCTCATTGTATCGATTAAATCCTTCATTGGCCAACTCAAAGACCACCAACTTCCAGAGTCGTCCTCTGGCCCTAGACTAGCAGCGACCTTCCTTCTGCAACCCCAGGGACGAAAAGGATACACAAATTCCTGATTCATCTCAGGACAGACTAACTCAGGGCCTCAGCTTACCTACCCCTACAAGGGATTCGCAAATCCCACTAATACAAAAGACACAGGAAACTGGGAAGAGCGTGCTTCCCGGGGAACTAGACTGAGTATCCCTTAATCTGTAAAGTTTTGAAGGCAGGAGCAAACGAACTGGTGGGAGCGAGCCGGACAGGCGGCTGCCTGCACACCCCGAGGCGGGGACTGTTAGAAAGCTGGGACTTTAACAGGGGTAGGAGCCCGGCTTGGCGTCTCCTCCGTAATCTGTTCCCTCCAGGCCTCCGTACTCAGGGAGCCTTACAATCCGGCTGCCCGTCCTCCGCAGGTTTCTTTCTGGGCCCCATGCCCCAGGGTCTTAGCCCTCATTCCCGAGCCCCGCCTGCCGCGGCCGCACCTGGTCCGAGTCCTCGTTCTCGCTGCTGTAGCAGCACCCCATGGCCGGGGTCGGGCCGGGCGCTCAGGCCGCGCCGAGGAGGGACGGCGTCCGTCAGGAGCCCTTCCGGTCACATGACCTGCGGCTGCCTCCCGTAGGCTACAACCCACTCCCTCCCCCCGTTTCCCCGGTCCCGGAGCCGCTAGTCCTCCTCAGTCAATACCCCGGCTTCCGGTCCCGCCCGCTAGCGCGTGATCGTTGTCAACCAATGGGAAGGCGAGACCTGCGTAACCAGACACGCAGGCACGTGATACGAGGAAAGACAGGGGCGGATCACCTGACTTTTATCTTTCCAGTCTCTAAACTGGCAGTAGTAGCCGTTGTGAATTGTTATGCGTTCGCGTGGGCACTAGGCGACTTTTCTGGGCCATTGAGCAAACTCGTGCCAAATGCCCTCGTATGCCCTCATAATACCCTTCTAAATGCCATGCGAGGGGCGAGTGAGATCCAGGACTGACACTTCTAGAGCGGTCAGCCTGGGTGCACACACACAGGACCCAGGTGAACGGTACCAAATCGGGGAACACAGTGTACTGTGTTTCGCTCAGTTGAGTTGTCCACCTAGGCTAAGGATCTGCAACTTACAGGAAGAAGGGACCTTATACTACCTTCACATGCTGACACGGAGCGGAGAAAATCCTGGTGGAGGAGATAGAAGCCACATCACTGACCTCTCTGCTTTTAGGCTTATATATATGTATATATATTAAAAATATACATATATATATATTTTTTTTTTTTTGAGACGGAGTTTCGCTGTTGTTACCCAGACTGGAGTGCAATGGCGCGATCTCAGCTCACTGCAACCTCCGCTTTCTGGGTTCAAGGAATTCTGCCTCAGCCTCCCGAGTTGCTGGGACTACAGGCACGCACCACCATGCCCAGCTAATTTTTGTATTTTTAGTAGAGACAGGTTTTCACCTTGTTGACCAGGATGGTCTGGATCTCTTGACATGATCCACCCGCCTTGGCCTCCCAAAGTGCTGGGATTATAGGCGTGAGCCACAGCGCCTATAATAAAAGCCTGGGCTTTTATCTTTAATCGTACTTTTTTGCAGCACCCGTAGTAATCTAACGCACAAAGCTGACCATCAGTTCTCTTTTCCTAAAACCCTCCCATGTCTTCCCTTGGGCCCTGAACACAGGTCCAAGTCTGTCCTTCAAGATTGTACAGTGATCTTTTTGTTGTTCATGAGCATGTGATTGGGTGTTCACCCGCAGGTGTGAAATGTGCTACCCTCAAATCTTATTTTGGGACATTACCCGTCCGACATATCGAAGTCGTGCAGAGCCTAACACCTCTCTCCCACTCCATGTCCTGGGAGGGGTAAGGGGTGAAGGGGTAAGCAATGTGTTTCACTGGACACAGAGAAATAATGCAGTTTCCTGATTGATCTACTGGACTCTGCACATGCAGCCTGACACACTGTCTCCCCACCAGGACTGCCTGCTGTCTTCAAGACTCAGAACAATGTCCTCCTGATTATATTCTCTGACCCCATTCTCTGGACATGTCCCTATGCTTAATCCTCATCCAGTGGTGATTCATGCATTTATTGAATCAACAAATATTTGATGAGCATCTACTATGTGCCACAAACGGTTATATCTGGATATGCCGCAGTTCACAAAACAGCCAACGTCCCCCTAGTCATGGAATATCCGATAGTGATCACACTATATTGTATTCTCTGTTCCTGGGTCAATCTCACCTACCAAACTTGGAGTTCCTGGAGCACAGTAACAGATTCTGACTCTTACCTGTGGCCCAAGGCATTGCTTACAGAAAACTTGCGTATCAATGAGTATATTACAGTCACCCCATCATCTTGGCTCACATCATGCCCCATCTTCTGATCCAAGGGGTCGGAGAAGTCACCAGATCTAGTACTTCTTATAACCCCTCAAATCAAGACCCTGAAGTTCTGTAAATCTTTTGAGGTTCCTGAAGTGTAGGAGGCAGCTCAAGCTCATCCCTGGGGCTGGTAACTTGAACTGCAGGTCTCAGGTGACAGCAGCAGCCTCAACATGAATAATAGAAAGCCAGTCCAGCCTCCTGCCTTAGGGTTATCCCCTGCAGCAGGCCCAGGACTCTCTCACCTGTCCTGTGCTCTGGTCTTCCCTAAGCAGGAGCCTCTAGCCCAGGTAAGCAGGGCCCTGGATTGCGGGTTCCCAAGCACACCAATTCAAGCCCACTGCATCACTCACCTATTCACACCCATCCATACATTGTTACTTTCATTTTACTCCCCACCACCACCAGGGGCCTTGCAAGAAGGCCTGCAAGGAGGTCAGATCTGGATGAGGGAGAGAATGATCCAGAACATGGGAGGCCCTGGAGAGGAGAGCTGAGTAGAGGGAAAATGTGTGCTGTGTTATGTGTATGTACACATTTGTAAAGGGAATTCTGAGACAGCACAGCAGAAGAGGGGAATACAAGGGAGAGGACATAGGGCTGGAAAATTATTACAGAATCAAAGACTCCTCCCATCAGCAGGGAAGAGCAGGCAGGAAAGTCCTGGAGTGGGAAAGAGGACATTTCACCCTAACACCCTATGGAGTATTTTGATTGCCTTTTACTGAGGCAGAGCATAGTAATAGTGAAGGTGTTTTTGACTGCAAATCTATGCTCCTGCTACACAGCAATGGTCAGAGGAGACCAGGCAGGCAGCGGGCAGGGTTGGGGGAAGATATCCCAGAGGGCAACTGATGAAAAGGGTCCTAAAGAAGGGGTGACATCAGGGATAAAGCGAAACAAGTCAGGGGAACAATGTGAAGATAGGAACAGGGGTTGGGACTAGGAAGAGGAGGTTTGGGTCTGGGTGCTGAAAATAGACAGTATGGAGTCCATGAAAGTACACAGGCTTGGAATTATACTAACCTGGATTTAAATCCCAGTTCTTTTGTGTGACTCTGGACAAAAAACTTAGCCTTACTGAGCCGTGGTTTGTAAAATATAAGGATAATAACTGCTACTGGCAAAAGCTACACAAATAACAGGCAAATTGTGAGTGTGGGTTTCCCTCCCTACTTCCCTCCAGCCCAGGGCCCAGGTAGGGACCATGTCCGCTGCCATTGCATTGGCCTTCCTGCCACTGGTGGTAACATTGCTGGTGCGGTACCGGCACTACTTCCGATTGCTGGTGCGCACAGTCTTGATGCGAAGCCTCCGAGACTGCCTGTCAGGGCTGCGGATTGAGGAGCGGGCCTTCAGCTACGTACTCACCCATGCCCTGCCTGGTGACCCTGGCCACATCCTCACCACTCTGGACCACTGGAGCAGCCACTGCGAGTACTTGAGCCATATGGGGCCTGTCAAAGGTCAGTGTTCCCTAGCCTTCTGGTCCAGGAAGTACCCCTAAGTTCGTGAAGGAAGATTTGGGATCTGCTGCTGCTTTACTGGGTGAATCGGGCAAGTTCTTGGTCCTTTTTTAGGGTCTCTTTTTTTCTCATCTGGAAATGAGGAGCTTGGACGAAGTCATTTATTCAGCAAACATTTATTGCCACCTCTTTTGTATTAGGAATGTGCTAGGTGCCAGGGAGGTGGATACAGGCCACACAGATGAACGAGCCACAAATGCTGGCCTCAAAGGAAGCATAATACACAGTGGAATAACCATCTCAGCATATAACCCATAGCTTTGTAATGATCTATGTCCACATCTTTCTTCTCCACCATGGAGGCTTCCACATCCCATTTAGGGTAACTGTGTGCCTGGATTTATCTCAAACCCAGCACAAGTGCTTTTAGGGTCTTATTTAAGAAATTTGGATGTGCAGTGGCTCATGCCTGTAATCCTAGCACTTTGGGGAGGCTGAGGCAGGGGAATCACTTGAGCCCAGGAGTTTGAGACTAGGCTGGGCAACAAAGTGAGACCCCCATTTCTACAAAAAATTAAAAAATTAGCTGCATGTGGTGGTGAGCAACTGTGATCCCAGCTACTTGGCAGGCTGAGGTGGGAGGATTGCCTGAGCCTGGGTGGTTGAGGCAGCAGTGAGCCGTGATCACACTACCACACTCCAGCCTGGGCAACAGAGCAAGACCCAGTCTAAAAACAAAAGCAAAATGCAGAAATTCATCCAATTCTAAGATCACAAATATATTCAATAAGCAATAAAAGGAGAATGAAACTATCAATTCTAACAGAAACTTTTCATAAATCTGAAAGATAGGGTGGTTGTTTCTGCCTGGGACCTCATAGAGAAAGCAACATTTGAACTGAGTCTGGAAGGATTAGTTTTGAGTTGGCCAGGCAGATGGAGATGGGGGTGGGAAGGGCAAAGCCAGCCACATACACAAATGTGGCATGAAGCAATGAGACAGTATAATGGATTTTGGGCACAGTTGTTTGGAATGGCTGTGATACAGGCCATAGGTGGGAAGTACTGAGAAATGAACCTGGAAAGGTAGGATAGGATAAGGTCCAAGGTCCTGAATGCCAGGCTGAGGATCTCAAGTTCAATCCCAAAGGCCTTCAGCTCACAGGAGTCAAGAAGTAATAAGGTCAGATTTGATGGAAAGATTTCAGGGCTGGTATGAAGACTACACTGAGGAGATGGGGTGACCAGGAGGGCAGCTGGGGCTATGGTACAAGGGACAGATGAGACCCCAGCTGGTTGAGAACTGCAGTGAGGTAGGCGGGCATTTGAGATCTCTTTCTATCAGGGGCCCTGCATCCATCTCCCATGTCTTCTGCAACAGCCATCTCCCCCCATAGGTCAGATCCTGATGCGGCTGGTGGAGGAGAAGGCCCCTGCTTGTGTGCTGGAATTGGGAACCTACTGTGGATACTCTACCCTGCTTATTGCCCGAGCTCTGCCCCCTGGGGGTCGCCTTCTCACTGTGGAGCGGGACCCACGCACGGCAGCAGTGGCTGAAAAACTCATCCGCCTGGCCGGCTTTGATGAGCAAATGGTCAGCCTCCCATCTCCCCACCAGATCTCTGTCACCCCAGGCCTTGCCCTAGCCAGACATCCCTTGTGAGGGACTCCCATCTAAGGAGAAGGAAGCAGCTCCACTCTGAGGACTGTGATGCTGGATGGTGTGTGAGCTCCTGCTCTCCTGTCCCAAGTCATCTGCACATTATTTTCTGCTGGATGACAAAAGAAACAGCTAAGAGGAAGGTCTCTGGAACCCAGCAAATTTGAGTCCAACTCTTACTCTGCCTCTTCTTAGCTATGTGACCTTGAGCAAAGCATGTATACTCTGAACCTCAGCTTCTTCACAGGCAAAATGGAAATCACAATACTGATCCTGACTTCTTGGGGTCCGAGGTCAGAGGAAATGTGAGAACACTCGTGGGGAGCTAAACCAGGACCTGGCATGAAGTAAGCCAGATCTTGGTGGGGTCTCCAGTGAGAGAACAATTCCCCCAACCCTCACGTCCAGCTCCTCCTACCCCTACAGGTGGAGCTCATCGTGGGCAGCTCAGAGGAGGTGATCCCGTGCTTACGTACCCAGAATCAGCTGAATCGGGCAGACCTGGTGCTCCTGGCACACCGGCCACGATGTTACCTGAGGGACCTGCAACTGCTGGAAGCCCATGCCCTACTGCCAGCAGGTGCCACTGTGCTGGCTGACCATGTACTCTTCCCTGGTGCACCCCGCTTCTTGCAGTATGCTAAAAGCTGTGGCCATTACCGCTGCCGCCTCCACCACACTGGCCTTCCAGACTTCCCTGCCATTAAGGATGGCATAGCTCAGCTCACCTATGCTGGACCAGGCTGATGTCCAGGCCTAGGGGTACTTACTGATGTCCACTCCCACTCCCATTCCCACCCCCAACCAAGCAAGGACCTCAGACTATCCCCTCCCTTTCCTGTTTGGGCCCTGACACATGCTGAGTTTAGGGCTGGGGAGGCTCTCTTCCCACCTCTGACCCCTTTCAGCCTCTACACTGACCTGAAGTGTCAACTTCTATCAGATTGCTTGGTCTCACTAGGCCCCCTCTTTCTAGAAAGAACCATGATTGACAGCAAGAAGCCTGAGCTCCCAACCCAGCTCTGTCACTGATTTGCTGAGTGGCTCCAAGGGAATCCTTGCCTTGCTCTGAGATTTAATCTTCTCTCTTAGATTTAACACTAGGGAAGCTGGCTGGGAGAGCTCCAGGGGCCTCCTAGCACTTGGCCTCAGAAAGCCTCTCATCCTCAACCCATGCCATTCTGGGTGGGATCAGAGGAAGCGGCAGACTGAGTCAGAAGCCCTGCAGGAATAGCTGGATACACACTGGGACAGACGAAATGATACAGAACCCTGGGCCCAGGGCCAGGAATGCCCTGGCCTTCCCCAAGCCAGGCCCACATAGCCATTTAGTTTGCCTGATACTCCTTGAGTGCCCTTTCCCAAAGCCCAAGAGAAGATGCTGGACTCCTCTGGGCCCCACCAACAAATAGGGAATAGACATAGGGGGAAAATCACTCCTTTGTCTTTATTAAAGAAACTTAGAAAGAAACCAGACCTGGCAACCAAGGGGTGAGGTACTGGCCAAGAAGGTGAAGTGGGGCTCAGGCCCTGGGGATTTCAAGTGCAGACTGATGGCCTGGGAGGGGCCAAGGACACCAGATCCTGGCAGCAACTGAGGAGGTACCCAAGGGCACTTTCAGGCACTGGGACCATCAGCTGGTTCTGTGGGCAGGGGTTGGGGGTTGGGATGCAGGGTAGGTTGGGCTGGCCTGGAATCTCCCTGAGGCCACCCTGCCTTGTCTACCTAGATCATCCACTGGTCCTGATCCTGTTCGTTGCCTTCCATGTCCACCTGGAGAGGAGGCTGGGTGTGGGTGGGGAGGGGCCTCAGCCAGCCTCAGCCCCAGATCCTGCCCCTGGCTGGATCCAGGGTTTCTGTACCCCTTTGGCCATCAATCGGGTCAGGAGCAGGGGCCCAGGAACAGAGGCCCTCCCCTATACCCCTTGTCTACCTCATTGACCTCTCCATCATCAGGTGACTCATTGTAGTCATTCATCTCGTCCATGTCCTGCATGTCCTCATCATCCTCTGAGTCCTCTTCACTATCCTCATCGTCTTCATCATCTTCTTCTTCCTCGTCATCATAGTGCTGGTGGACAGGAGAAAGCCTGTAAACCCTACAGGCCTGTGTGAACCAGTTCAAGAACTAACCCACTTGGAGCTTCTCTTTAGGGCCAATGAATGACACCCCCCTGACCCCTCAACCCTGCCCTCCTTGAGTCTATCAGGCTGGTGCATGTTCTGCAGGACCTTAGTGCTAGGCCCTGTGCCCACCCCTTCTATCTCCCCTTTTTGGCCTTCACCAAGATCTGAGAACCACAACTGCTCTAGGTCAGAAACAGGACATTCAGAATTAGAGCAGACCCTCGGTCCACCCTGGGACTCACAAAGTCCCCACCTGCTAGAGCCACTCACCTCTGATGCTGGCTTGCCAATAGGAACCAGGTTATTGTCTTTCTCTGCGATGCTTTGGAGCTGTGGGCAAAGGCATGGAGGAACAAGGCCACAGCCCAAGTAGAGCAGGTCAGGGGCATGGGACTGGCCCATTCTACCCAAAAGAAGACCCACACATGTCGGGGAGACGCTTCCTCCCAGTTCTCAGGAAGATTCAATCTCTTTCTTGCCATCTGCCATTTATGAACTTGATCCAAATACCTAAACTCTTGGAGCCTTGGTTTTCTCATATAATTATGTTGAGGATAAAGTGAGAGACTTACCAGCCTAGAAAGTGTCATCTGCTAGATCCTCAATTAATAGTCAAAATTATTTCCTATGGTTTAGGGAAAAGAGCTTGGGCTGAGTGTCAGTAGCCTGAACTCTAATCTGGCCCAGAAGTCCCATGGTCCCCCTGTAAATTAGGGTACTACAAGATGAAAACCCTGGCTCCCTGGCTCCCAGACTGATTATTCCCAGCTCATGGCGAAAGCTCTTCCTGGGCAGATCTCCATAGTAAGGCTCGGTCATGGCCCACTGAAGGGGGTCTCTGTCTGTGCTGTGCTAGGTGCTCACTCACCCAGGCCTGATGCTGCTGTTCCTGCTGCTGCAGCTCTGTCTCTTCCACACAGGGTCGATCCAGATTAAACCACAGTGTCTCAGTCACACGAGGGAAGAGTGAGGGGAACAAAGTGGACATGGCTCCTAGACTAGGAGAAAGGGTCAAGTGAATGTGTTTTGTTTTCATTTTTATTTGGTTGTAATTTGATTTAGGGATAGGGTGGAAGATACCAGGGAAGCAGGCCTCCCCACTAGGAATCAGACAGACCTGGGTTTGAGTCCTGGCTCCACCACTCACTAGCTCTTTGACCTTGGCTGAGTCACTTAACCTCTCTGGGCCTCAGTGTCTTCATCTGTAAAATGGGGATAATAACAATTATACCACCCTCAAAGTTATTCTGATAATTAAGTAAATAATGGATAAAGCCGTTTGCAGGCTGTTGAAGGAGGGAGGGGAATGGGAGTCAAGTGTAGGAATAGAAATCCAGAATGCAGACTGGCATTATGAAATCATACAAAATTAGAGGTAGCAGGGTTCTACTGAAATTATCACTACCTCTTCTGTACACTAAAACCTGCTTTTTTTGCCCCTTTATGATGGTCCATACCGCACCTACCCAGTGTCAGAAATTTAGGACACTAACCACCTCTCTAATGAATCACGGCCAAATGTCGGGGTGGGGGAATTGTAGTATATGCAAGCAGGGTTCAGTAAGACATTCTAGGAGGCATGAATAAGTGGATAAGTAGATGGAAGACTGAATGGATGAACTAACATATAAGATTACAATCAGCTTTGAGGGGCTAAAGGAGCCGACCAAGAGTGCCAGATAATCTGAATTAAACTGAGGACAAGCAAATTGAGGCCCAGCGACAGGCAGAGACTGGCTTTAGGTCACACAGTGAGTCGGGGCTTAGAATTCTCCGGTGAAAGGAATCCAGGCCGGCGCTAGAAATAAGCAGGAGAAAAGAATCGATGCCTGATCCTGCTTTTGTCCTAATTTATCTGACCAACCCAGGGCCAGCTGCTGCCCTTCCCTGTATCTCAGCTTTCCAACCCTTGTAATAGGCACAAGAGCAAACACCTTCTTGTCCAAGAAGTACTGACAGGCCAGAGTTCTTGGCTCCGAAAGCCCAACCCACCGCCGCAAAGCCACCGCCCATTCTTTGCTTATTACGATAATGACCATGCAGTTGACCAACAGAAAGAAAGTAGGGGCGGGACTCAGACAGAAATTTGGCCTTATAGGGTTGCTAAACGCTAAAAAAGCGGGGCCTGAGTAGAACCAATTAACTGAAAGAAATCCTGGGTGACAGGAAGTGACACCAATGAATGACGGATCTTGTGTGACGGGGTGGGGCCTAGTCTCGAGGAAGCGGTCAATGAGCTGGAGATCTTTGCGGGTTAAGGACTCTGAATATGGAGCTCCAGAAGAGTCGGGTCAAAGGAAATGGGTTTCTCTGGGGTAAGAAGGAATGAAGGGGCAAGGAGACGGCCGCAGCCTTCCTTCTGTACTTACCGCGCGGGGAGGCGACCGCCGGCGGCGACCCGGAAGCGCTTCACCCAGCCTGAGCGGAAGAACCCACCAGAATCCGGGACTCACCAAACGCATGCGTCCTTCGTCTCCTTTTGTTGCCCCCCCCCCCCCGCTCCCGCCCACTAACCCGGATGTGACGTTGACATACCTTAGTCTTATTGTTAGGGAAGGAAGTGTGCCGCGCCTATCTATCTGCCCCGCCTTGAGTCTCAGCCAATCGGCCTCTGCATTCTGGCCCCGCCCCGACAGCTCCGTTTAACCCCTACCCCTTTGTTCCCAGACACCTTTTACTTGTTAACCCTTTCTGAAGAAGAGCTGACCGCAACTTCTTAGTACGAGGGCCATTTGTCCTACTGCATTCCAGGAAAACTAATCTGTTTCTACCCCGGAATCGCTGGTTGAGGTTACGCCCCTCCTGTCTGTGCTCTCTCAGCTTCAGTTTTCCATTTGAGCACATTCATTCTTTTTTAATTTTTGCTCTGAACAAAAATATTTGAGTTCAACTATTACTATATTCCAGGCTCTCCTAGAAACTGGGGATAAATCTATGAATATGCTCGCTGCCCTAGAAGACCTCACAGTCCCAGGAAGCCAAACCCTGCAGACTTGCAGTGGACTCCCTGGTCTTTTAAGGTTGCCTATTGAGTTCTCTCTGATATTGGAGATTATGTACAGACTTGAATGACAGCCTCGGTACAGCATTCTGCTGCTGGGGGAATCAGCTTCCCTCAGGCCTGGGCCAGGGCCCCTTACAGGTCAGCCTCTTCACCTCTCCCATTCCTTTGCTGACGCCTCTGTTCTAGTAACCTCTGACTCAGCTTCCCCTTTAGAGATACTCATGTTTTCTGGCAACAGAGGTCCTTCAAACCCAATTCCTATAAAGCTTCATCACTTACCAGCCTCTTCCAGGGCCAGCAGGCATCCACAGTTCCAGTACTGTCCTGGCCAGATGTGTGGGTTTGGGGAAGTCCTTTTCCTCTTTCTGGACTCAGTTTCTTCATCAACCAGCATCATAATCTCTCCCCAGCCTTCCTTTTATCCTGGGCTGATGTGAAGACTAGATAAGAATTGTTCAAGAGGTCGTGTACTGTGCATACTGAATGTGATTATATTGCCAAATAGCACTGCTTCTTATAAAATTTTTCATTAAAGAGTAAACTTTGCCTCTTGGAAATGACTACCTTTTTCATTCATTCAACAAATACCTATTGAGTGCCTTAGTATATGTCTAT